AAGGGACTTACTCTTCCCATCTCAAACACGAGGAATTGCATATCCTTCAGTCAGGCAGCTGATTCAAGGTAAGGCTTTGTTAATATTTCTGGAGTAGAATGCAGTTATTTGTCAGGAAGAACATTTCACAGGGTGTAGGACTGTTTCAGATTTGATGTGTACACATTCATACCACTATGACAAGAGCATTGGCCAAACAAACTCATGTTTGTGTCCAAGTGCAGCTTTGTGATGCTGTGTAAGCAGCACAGAATTAGAAGCTGCAGATGTCTGATCCATTGGGATGTAGTTCTGGACATCAATTTAATGGAGTTTAAAACCAGTGGCTTTGATCCTAAAGAAATAAAATCATCACTGCACATTCTTGAATAAGAAACAATAAAGCTTCATTCTCTGTTTTAGCACTCACAAAAAGGCACAGAAGAGGCTGGCTGTCATCAAGACTGTATTTTCCAGAAGTCCTTTAAACCTGGGCAATAAGCAAGCCAGTACCCTTGAATACCTCCCCACTCTCCGCAGTATTTGCAGGTCTGAGAAGCTTAAAGAGCAAGGGAAGACCAAAAGAAGGTGAGTTTGGGTTTTCCTAAATCTTGATACATTTCAATATAGAAGGTAGTTAAGGATTTTAATAAAATATTTTGTAAAATAATTCTGGGCAAAGAAGGTGGACATCTGTCTCTCAAAATAATAAAAGTGTTGCCTTATATTTGGAAATAACTTTGTTCCATTAACAATCTTTTCTACTTTTTTTTTAATAGGTTCTTGCATTATCTTGAAGGGATTCATCTTGAAATACCCAGACAAATGATAAATAGTCTGTCTTTGGACTTCCCTTAAAACTGCCAACACCAGAAATACTTTAATACTTTGTGCCTAATGGTGATATTCTCACCAGAGTTTGTTTGGTTATTTTTTAATTACCACATTCTTGTATATTCAGAGCCATTTGTATATTAAATTTTTATAAGTATTTAAAATAATGTATATATCTATTGTCATTATACTGCTCTCCACAGCTGAAATGTGGGTTTGTTTGGTGCTTGTCCAGTAAGGGCATTCATAATATTAAATGCACAGACTATTCAGTGGGGACTTCATGTTCTTTCTCTCTAATTTATGGATCAGATAGCAGGGAGTCCTTTTATAACAACCAACTGTCACAACTTCCACAGCAAAGTTACGTTTTCTGAGGAGACTGTTTTGTTCAAATAAGTTTGTTTCTGAATGTGCAGTTAAAGTGATAAATCAAGGTGGGAGGGGGCACAGAGAGGATGCAGCAAGTCCTCCAAAGTCTAAATGACTAAAATAAACTCTTCACTGTGACCACAGGGAACAAAATCCTTACAAAGCACTATGCCTCAATGTATATATGTTTGTATACATTCCTTTCATTGTTTACAGCTGTCAGATCTGCATTTAATCTCCTTAAAAGATAGAGAAATTATTACTGTAGCTCAACATGGTCTCAAAAGATTTAGGCAAGATTTTGTAAATAACAATTATCCCAGTGTTACTTTGGGTACAGGAATATTTAACTACTTCTAATCTTGTATATTGTGTTCTATTCTTAAGCTTCATTTTTTGTATTTGACAAGACTTCAGCCTGATTATTTGTGATAGAATCTGGTTTTATACGACAATAAATTTGTGAGATTTTGCTACAATCTCAACGTTTCTGTTGCATGAAAGGTAAAACTCCTGAAACATAACTTTTAAGGGATTTTAGAATTGGAATTAGTTCAACCATGTACTTTCCTGCCTTTTCTTTGCAGTTGGACTGTTCCTGTTCCTCAAACTGAGTCAGACTGCTGCCATGCAGTGGTGCTCCACTTTTACCTCACTGCCTCTGTAAAAATAAGGAAGGCCATTTGGTAGTTCTGGTCTCACCTTACATTTTTCATGTCTTAAAGATGTTCAGGAACTAGAAATATTTATGGAAACAGTGAATTATTTTAAGCTTCTGCATTGTAGATCATCTTTATAGTTTACTCTTTCCATAATCCAGAATTATCAAAAAGTTCAAGTGGTGGCTGTTAAAATCTTCGTGGCTTGATTTTTTTTATATCAACAGTCTGTGCTTCTCCTGTATGATTTGTAAAAATAAATAAATACACATTTTAAAATTTTTTAAAATTGTAAAGTAAAAGTGTATCTGTTCACTGCTTTATAAAGACACTATCAATCTAAGTTACAGTGAGGACCTACATAAATCAGAAACAAGTCCTATTAAATAGTAATATTAAAGGAAATTCAGGGGTAATTTGAAGACCCAAATTGGAAAGCAGTGAGAGACAATTTACTTTCTTTTGAAGTTAGCTCTATGGTTTTAATAACTGCTTTAAGAAGTTTACAGAATCTGCTGTGGTGTCCACAAGGTAAGGTAGAATTCAAGTATTTCCCTTCCTGATCAGATACTTACCACATGAAATCACCCCAAACTACTCTGAATGAAAGATAATCTGCGTGTGATGATTTGAGTTCTGATAAATTAGCACCTTTGGATTTTTATTCATCAAGTATGAGCATCTTTTGTGTGCTAAAATCAAGTTTCTAGGAGGAAAAGTGTCTTTTGAGGAAAAGTGACCTGGGGCTGGTTTTGATTAACTCTGCTTAGAAGGAAATGCTTCACAAACTCCATTGTAGTACTGTGAAATTTGCCTGCTTTTGATGCAAAATATTTTCCTGCAATAGTTTGGCCCCTGGTTAGTCCTTTATATACTGCCCCTCCAGCTAACTTCTGTGTCTTGAAATCAGAAGTAAAAACAAACCTGGAGTTTCACAATGACTCTCACATTTAAGCAACAGTTATTAGTAGGTGTACAGCAACTTAAAACCAACAACCTTGTTATTCTTGGGGAATTCTCAACCAAGTTTCAAGCTTTTCTTTCTCTTTCCTGTCATTCCAATATTGCTTTCCAGAATGTAAATGAGGATGACATTCTACCATCCCAAGAATAAAATAGAAAAAAGCAGTTATGGTTGTAAGAATGAGCCAAAGGCTTAGACTGTGTTAATGCTACTGGAGAGTCGAGGTGGGAGGAGGGAAGACTTCAAGAGCAAGACTATCTCAAACCTTTGTAAAAGATAGATATAAATAACCACTCCCCAAATGTCATACAAAATGTTCCTTTTATTCCACAGGAGTTGTAAGGACACTAAAATTAAGCTAGCAAAAAGCTTTGGTGTATGGCTTGCAAGATTACCAGGGGAAAATTAAATCCAGGTTTACATTCCAGTATGCAGTTCCTAGAGGGTGAGTGCTGAAAAGAGATTCTATGTAGGTAGTTGAACAACTTTTCAGATATTGTGCAGCTGTGTATTTCATAGCTTCACAATAGTTATAAATAAATAAAAGATATAATACTATTTAGTACCTAGAAGATGGAAAAAAGGTTTCAGTATTTGGAACTGCTAATACATGTCTAGTGTTTAGTCATCTACAAACCAACTGTGTTTTTACAAGATTGTAGATAAACTACTAAAGAAGTATACTATATAGTACTACTATAGCAATGCAAATTAAATTCAACCTCAAACTAGAAAAATATTTTAATACCTCTTAGTCTTTTTCTGAATTAATTAACCTTCTTGAAAAAACTTTGTTTCACATTTTTCTCTTTCTTTTCTCTTGTCTTAGATAAACAATATTAAGTCACAGACTTCTTGCCATTTGCTTTATCATGGAAGAGGACCATTTTCAGTGAGGTTGAAATACTGTATTGTCCCTGCGGTGAGCTGTGTAGGAGGGTTATTCTGGCACTGCTTGGTGTCACCGTGCTGAGCGCTCGAAGTGGGGCAGAGCTGCGCTGGGAGAGCGGGACTCACCTGGCCGGCGGTACCAGTGCTTTGGTGGATGTCCGGGGCCCGACTGCCGTTCTGGTACCCAGCCAGCTTTGTAAACTTATTTTTTAGAGAGGTGCGGTTGAGGCAAACCTGGAGGTGCGTGGACGAGCCCTCCTGGACACGGGACAGTAATGCACTGCCAGCGCAGGAGCTTCCGACTCATTGCGGGAAAGCCGGCGGGGAGCGGGCCGGGCCGGGGACAATGGGCGGGTGCCCGCGGGCCGGGGAGACCGCGCGCCCCGAACCGCCCGAAGGAGGAGGTGCCCGGGGCGGGGGGGGACACGGGAGGGGACCGGGCTTCCCGGGCCACTCCGGTTCCTCATTTCCCGGCTGGGCCGAGCCTCCCGCAGACTCCGCGCCGGGCGCCGGCGGCGATGGACTACGACCACAACAAGGTGCTGCTGCTGGAGCTGCAGAGAGCGGCCGGCACCGGTAACGATCGCTGCGCCGACTGCGGGCACCCAGGTAAGGCGGCTCCGCCGGGCACTGCCCCGCGCCCCTCGGGCCCCGGGCCCGCTTCCGAGCGGACAGCGGCCGTGACGAGGAACCGGCCGCCCCCTCGGGCTGTGCCGCCGTCTGGGCGCTGCTCGTCCCGCTCCGCACATGTGTCCGTGTCGGGCACCGGCCGCGCCCCTCGCTCCGTGTCCCGCGGTGCTGCCCGCTCCGGGCCACGGCTCTCGGGGAGCCCCGCGGGGCCAGGGGACCGCCGCAGAGGGCAGGAAACGACCTCAGCACTAGGCGCTTCCCCGGGTTATTTGTGGACAGGGCATGAGACCGCAGGAGGAGGAGGAGGGTGCGTGGGGTGGATTTGCAGCTCGGGGATGTCTCTGCGCAAGGCTTGGGGCAGAGAAAAGCACGGCAAACCCGCCGGAGCCCCCGCGCCGGGCTGGCGCCCGTTCGGGTGGGTCAGGCGGGAGCCAGCGCGGGAGCTGAAGAAGGCGTCAGGTTGTTTCTGTTTAGCAATTTGACGGGATAGGGAGAAGTGGACGGTGGCGCAATCCAAGAAAATGGTCTTGCCAGAACACTCAATGCCTATAGGGATGCACCTGTCAAAGCTGCTTCAGGGGATGATAGCGGGGATAAATAGCAGGCAAGAGCAGGAGCCTTCACTGGCAGCAGACAGTCCTCGCTGCAAATGGTTACACTTGTATGACAGTGCACACTGTCGGCACCTTCCTTCTATTGTTAATTCAGCAACAGCAGCTTTTAATGCATAACTAATATTAGCTGAGCTTTTCCATCACCACTCACCTGCCTGCACAGTCACCTTGATTTTGAAGCAAATAGGCAGTTAAAGAATGTACAAACGCAGGGGCCACATCGTTCACTGGGAAAAGCAGGTATTGTTTCCCTGGACACAGTAAAGTGACGGCCATGAACAATGGGGTGGGATTCTAGGTATTTATTAGGTGTGAAGCCTGGGCTGTGCATCAGATGTGAGTTTTCCCCCTTGCCAGTGGCTGTGCCTTTCCCTATGTATTAATGTATTCTTTGTGTTTTTATCTAGATCCAGAGTGGGCTTCTTACAAACTTGGAATATTCATTTGTTTGACTTGCTCTGGAATTCATCGTAATCTTCCTGAAATCAGCAGAGTCAAATCCCTTCGGCTTGACTTCTGGGAGAGTAATTTAATAGAGGTACAGAGGAAAAAGCAGTAATTCTCCACATTTCATAACCTCCTCTGCTATGTAATTCCTGTGCCATCCACCATGGACAGTGCAGCAGAGCCACACAGAGCCAAGTTAATTGCATGGGTAACTGTAGGGGGTTTTTAATGACCTCCTCAATCAAATTACACTGTTAGGTGACCATGTTCCTAACAGTCCGTGGTGTGTATGTTCATAGACACAGTAACTTCTCACTGTGGTTTAGAAACCTACAAATATTTCCTGGAAGTACTTTCAATTCAGAAAGCAACATACTTTTCTTAAATATTGGTTCAGCCTCTCATCATTCAGCTGAATTATGTTAATAATACAATCACAGTTAATATCTGAGGGGAGATGAAGGAATAGGAAGATCATAAACAAAATTTCTCCTAATTTTCTTTTGTTCTTTTCATCAACAACCATAATTTTGTATTCCTTCACACATGGTTCAGAACTGTAAATACTGAAAAAGGTGCATCTACCTAAAAATAGCAAACTATAATGCCAAAGGAAATTTATAAATGTATGTAAATACACACTTGAGTTATGGCAAGACTTGGCAAAAAGTGCAGCACTTCCTTTGATACAAGTCTCATTTTATGTTCATGACATGGTGTTGATTTGCAGTGGCACACCTAACTGTAATTTATTTTATATTTCAGTTTATGAGAAATCACGGGAATCTCTGGGCCAAAGCTAAATATGAGGCCAAGGTCCCTCCATACTATTACATCCCCATGTCCCATGACTGCATGTAAGTTGATGGTGTATTCACTGCTGCAGACCTTTACATCTGCTCCCTTACAGGTCTCCCTGGCTGGCTACTGAAACTAGAGTAGAGACAGATGAGCTTTATCCATGTTTTTCTCTTTCAGGGTTTTAAGAGAGCAGTGGATTAGAGCTAAATATGAGCGTGAGGAATTTCTTGACACCCGAGTCTGCCAAGATCCCTGTTCTGCAGGTAAAAGGATTGTCAGGGAGGTCTCAGTCTCAAGGCCAACAGCACAATGTTCTGTTGGCACCTTTGGAGGTCTCTGAGGTTGGCTTGTCACATTTGAACTGCTGGATGTGCAGTCACTGCTTCGAGTCCAGCTTTGAGAAGAAACTCCTAAGAAAAGGCGCTTACAAAAGTGCAAGGGTATATTCAGATCTTACAGTTCTCTATTTCTTCCACTGATTTTTTCATATGAGGGGAAAATTCTCAGATGGAGAAGAGACTTGAAACTGTGACAGATCACCCTTAGCTCAATAGTCCTGCACTTGTGGCACCCTTCTCTGACACTTACCTGTCTGGTCTGCAGGCAGCCGTGAAGGATGCCTCTGGAAGCTTGGGAAGGCACGCAGACAGTTCCAGAAGAGGCGTTTTCTCCTATCAGCAAGGGAAGGGGTGATGAAGTACTACAACAAAGAAGTGAGTTCTTCAGCTAGAGCTCAACACTCACCCTCAGACCTTGCTCTTTGTGGGCAAAACCCAGCACAAGTGTCTTTGTCTCTAGTTTTGTAGCCAGCCTGTGCTTAGAGGAATCCACGTTTCCTCATTAACATATGTAGTATATTGGGCAATTTTGGATTTAGTTATTTTTCTTATCCCTTATCTCAACACTGCAGCCTCCTTTTGCTTGTGAACAGAGGAAATGGATACTGACAGCTGAATAGCAAGACAAAGAGGAGATCTGCTGGCAGTTTTTACCTCTTACATTACCAAAATATCCTGTCATGAGCTCCTGCAGCAGGGTCCTCAACACAACTCTTCTGTGAGACTGTAGCTAATTGTTCTCTAACTAGGAGGCTGGAGATAGACTCATCCTTGCAATGCAGACCCAGCCCTCCTTAATAGTGACCCAGCATTTGTCAAGGAATCTTTGTAAGTGGTTTTATGTTGCATGTAATAAAGGCTTTATGTTTCAGTTTTATCCAATATTCAGATATTTTAGGATGTCTGCTTTCTATTCAGTAGGGATCTAGGTCTCATACAGCTGACCTATCCTGCAATACATTCCCTGAGAGCACTTTAATACAGTGATGCTTTTCATTTCACAGTCCAAAGGTCCAAAAGCCATTATCAGCATTGAGACTCTGAATGCAATGTTCCAGGTGGAGAAAATAGGACACAGTCATGGGCTGCAGATCACATACATCACAGATGGTCAAACAAGGAACCTTTTTGTCTATCACGAAAGTGGAAAGGTGAATATAATAGAGATCCTGGAGTAAGTAAGATGCTTAGGTGTTGGATCTGTATTTTGGAAGAGTTACTGTGTCTGCAGGATCTGGTTTCACTTTGCATCACTATGACTTGTAGAATATAGGACATTGCAGAATTTGATGCTCCTAACTGTAGCATCTTGCTCCTTTGCTGTTGGGGCATATATTCAACCTCAGCCTTTGGATAGTCTTAAGTGGTGCATGGATGTAAATCTCTGTAAGGTAACTGCCCCATGGCTTTATACAATTTCATGGTTAAATTCTTGGCACGCATGGAGAATATTGTTCTACATTATTTCCAAACCAATAATGATAATTTAAAAAATTTTCTGTATAGATATTGTTAGACTTCCTGTTTCTTCCTTCAGCAGAGTTCTGGTGTCTTTCCAGGTACAGAGGTTTTTAAACAACCCATAACTGAATCAACTGAAAAAGCCTGTGCATACAGACTTGGGTGACTGTCCATGTTGAGAAAGTCTTAGACCTCCTAGGAGGGGCATTCTTCAATTATTTTCAAGGGTCAATGTTTTTCAGGTGTCTGGGATAAATCACTGACTCTCTCTGTCCCTTGGGGAGAAAATACCTCTTTACAAAGGGGTCACAAGGAAGGAGAATGGCATTTTGGAGAAGCAGTGCTCTTACTTTTCTTTTAAATCTTTATGTTTGTGTTTGCTGTTTTCCCAGGAGATCGTTGACTGGTTCAATGCTATTCGGGCAGCACGTTACCATTATCTCAGAATAACCTTCCCAAATGTCCCTGAGCCTGAGGTGAGAACTGAACAGGGCTTGAAGCAGTCAAGCAAAACATAGCATGGAAAAATATTTTCTCACTTCTTCTGACAGAGTCAGGTGCTCAAAAAGCAGCACTTGGGTCCAGGGAATGGACAGAAAGAGGTAGAAGGAAAGGCCACACTGAGTAACAGGCAAAAACTTAGTCAATACTTAAGGCCTTAAAGTCTCCATGTGATCCTTATACAGTGTAATCTGTCAAAAATGTTATGTTTCTTGTTATTTCAGACTTCCCTTTACCAAGCAGCCAAAAAATCCCAGACCCCAAAAGCCACAATTGACGGTGATTAACTTTGACAAAAATAGAACAGAAATGCAATCTTGAATGAGACAGCCTGTCCTGGTTTCAATTGGGACAGACATAGACTTTTTTGTGTTTGTGTTCTCCTAGCTCATACCCAGGATCACAAGAAATTTCGTCAAGGAAGGCTATATGGAGAAAACAGGACCAAAAGTAAGTGTGTACTTGACATTACCCAAACAGGATCATTCCAGATAGATAATATTTGGTAGTTCAATGATGCTGACTCGTAAAATATTTGCTCAGTGACTCTCTGCTTCCTGGGTTGATAAAAGACACTATATTCAAGCCTGTCCTGTTCTTTGGGACCATGTTTTATTTTGTGTGGAAAATAAGATCAAGAAGAAGAATCCTTGAAGAGTAAGCAAGGTGGATTAGCTGTCAATGGACATGCAAAGGGCTGTTACACAGCACCACATGGATTGCTGTATCTGCTAACTGCAGCTCCTGCCACAGCAGAACATGAAGTGCTGACCCCTCCTACTTCTCTGTTTCACTTAAGAGTCAGTTGCACTTAAGTCACATCTACTTAGAACAGCAAAGTGTCATTTGAACAAATTTCTCTACAGTGAAGCCAATAGTTTGGTTTGTTTTGTTGTGGGAAGTGTTTGGGTCAGTACTGTGGGAATAGAAGAGGTTTTGGACACTGCTGAAAGAGAAGATAAAGATCTAAGGTTTTGTTTGAACACAGGCACTTCTTGCCTTGCTCTCTTCTGAGTGAACCATGAGCCAAGTCCCATTATAAAGTTCAGTGGTGCAGTTCTCATACTGAATATGCTGGGTTTTGGCCCAGATTGTGCCAGTGTTCCAGCACCTCTTCTGCAGGTACTTGCACATGAAAGATTTTGTGGATTTTTCTCCTGAGGCCTAAGTTCTGCTTAAACTGAGGTGAGTCCTAGAAGAGGCCTCTTCAGCCTGGAGCAATTAATAGCTCAGGATTGGTCAAGTAAGTGTAGCTGATGGAATTACCCCTTAAAAAAAATATGGTATTGTGCACCTAGAATTCCAGGAACAACTTCCCTGATGAGATTGTTGAAATTGATTGCTCACTCTCTTCACTATCACCACTGGCTCAGGGGTTGTTCTCTGCAGTGCTTTCAATCCATTTCATGCAACTTCCTTAATTCCATTAATTTGATTACTTGCCTGCCCAAAGGATTGTCATTGAATGTAAATCTGTATTTTGAGCCCAGGGAGAAGAGACAGCTGTGGGCTGCACACAGCAGTCCTTGTTACCAGTTGCAGGGATGAAGGAAACTGAACTCCAGCTCCAAGTCATATAAGTGGTTCTGGGATTTGAATAGACCAAAATCCACTTTGAGACTTGGGTCTTTAAAGAATTTCTACCATTTCCTTGCAGCAGAAGGAGGCCTTTAAGGTACGCTGGTTCAGCTTGGATTCTCAAGAAAGGAACCTGCTATACTTTAAAAATCCACTGGTAAGAGAAGTGTTCTTTGTTCCACAGCTCCTTCATGAAGCAGGTGGGGAGGAAGGGTCTGTTTTCATCCACTTTTTGCAGTGGCTGTGCCAGACTCTGGAGCAGGCCCAGCCTCAAGAGCCCATCTCCCTTGTGAAAGGATGTCCCTGAAGCTGAGCTGCTTGGGAACTCTGGCCTGTACAGTGGCTGTGAGGAAATCTTTTAAAATTAACTGCTACTGCCTGTGGTGTTCGTGCTCCCTCTCCCCCAGCCCTAGTGCCTATGTGTCTGTAACCTTAGCCAAGATGAGTAATATTCCAGTATCAGGGGTTTGACAGCCCCAGTATTTTGCTTCCTAGCACTGCTTTAGCCATGGGAATGTCCTTCCCTTCCCCTTCTGAATACCTACCAACCAGCTCTGTGAGAGTGGGGCCCTGCCTTCTCCTCCCAAGAATGCCTGCAGTGCAAAATACCCCTTGTATGCTCCCTGCTGGTGTCACCAGTCCGTGTCACCAGCTCCCCTCCGTGCATCCCCAGAGCCTGTTCCATGTCAAAGGATAGAGCAGTGTCTGCTGGAGCTCCACTGTCTGCTGGCTAATGGCTGTCTTCTGCTTCCTTCTTTCCAGGATGCATTTGCACAGGGACAGGTTTTCATTGGAAGGAAGGATGAGGGATATGAAGTACGAGATGATTTACCCCAGAAAGTCTGGATGAAGAAGAAAAAACCAGTGATCACTCTGGTCACACCAGCGAGAGAGTTTGTGTTTATCTGTGAGAATGACAGGAAGCAGAAGGAGTGGATGGATGCCTTGAATGCAGTCATCACCCAACTCTGATGTCCACAGAGAGGAGCAGGCAGGCAGCTACATTCCACCTCTCTGCAGCTCCTGGTCACACAGGGACTGGGTTGTTTTCAACAGAGTGGGTTGAATGTTTCTTACAGCGCTACATTTCTGCCACAATAAAAAAACAAGCCAGGTTTAAATTGTGGAGGATACTGTAATGGAATCACTCCTCTAATGGAATCATACAGATTATTCTAGCTCTGCTTTCAACAGTCTCTACTGTTTGGCTTTCATGTGAGTGGCAAATCCAACATCCAATGAATTTTTTCCAAAGCACAACCCCACGTGGTGCCCTAGTGAACACATCGAGAGTACAGGATGAACATACACTGATCTGTCTCACCTAAGAACAGATGAAGCTTAATGAGCTTGATTAGACTGAACATTGAAAGGCAGAAACAAATTTTAAAAGTATTTTCTTCAGTGACTTGCTTGCAAACACTCCATGAATGAGGACTGGTGTTCAGTGTTGGAGAGGAGCCTTCTCATCAGGTACCACTGTGTGCAGGAACTGATGGAGATTGCACTGACTGACACAGAGCACTGAGTGTTTCCATGCCTCAAGGCAGAGTCTGAGATCTGGTTCTACCAAGCAGCAAGTCATTCACACATTTAATTCTTTACAGATAGCCTTATTTTGCAAATCAAGAGGAAGTCTTGCAGACCAAGTTTCTGGTAAGGCTTCCACCTTCTGCTGACAATTGCCAGCTAGTCTTGAGATACTCAAAATAGTTCTTTTTTTTTTGCAGAAATGAGAAGTGCCAATACTTGCAGGAATTAGTGACACTAATTCTTCTTTCTCCCCACCCCCACTCGCCCAATAGTGCAAATGAATTGAGTGGGATCATCATTCTGCCTTTCTCAGCCAGCTCATAGTCTGGCTCTGAGCAATGTGCAGCAGTTTTACTTGTTGATGTGCTCCCATGAACTTCCTGTGTTCCAGGCTCTGTCCCCACACAACCCCATTTTTTCTAGCTCACGTGGTGGTTCAGCAATTCTGTTAAACAGCCTAATGCTGCAGCTCCTGAAATCAACAGAAAGCAACTTTTGACTTGTTCGAGGAACAGTGTCAGTCTTTCTTTGTTAATTGCTATTTTGAGGTGACCCGAGTAGCTCGGGGTGACCTCAGAAGGGTTTGGTCCCTCCAGTAGCCTGGACTTCAGTCAGACAAGGTTTGCACTGTGCTGTGCTGTGCCACTGCTCTCCCGGCTGGGACAGCAGACTGCCCATGTCAGCAACTCTCACTATTACAAAATCGGGAAATTCACGGTGGAAACGAAATAGTGCAGATAACGGAAACTTTTTGGACAGTCAATGAAAGTCAAGGCCAGGCCCTGCGGAGTTCTGCGTCACAGTCCATTTCCACCGGCAACCCAAATCCTGCGAGCAAGGCACGTGAGAAGAGCAGAGCGGGGCAGAGGCGGCGCCGCTCGCGGCGTTCTCGGCACCGGAGGAGGAGCCCGGGGGAATCGAAACTGCGGCCGCTGCCTCCGCCCGGGCCGGGCCATGGCTGCTGTCATCGAGCTCGAGCGGCTGCAGCGCGTCCTGGAGCTGCACTGCTCCTTCTGCCTGCAGCTCTTCGCGGAGCCCGTGCGGCTCACGGGCTGCGGCCACAGCTTCTGCCGGGACTGCATCCTCCGGTACTGCCTGGGGCGGCCCCGCGTCCTCTGCCCGCTCTGCCGGCGCCCCTTCGAGCCCCAGCACCTGCGGCCCAACCGCGAGCTGGCCGCGCTGCTCAGCCTCATCCCGCGGGAGCTGCAGGAAAGCTTGGAAACACAGGAGGAGCCGGAGCCCCGTGGAGCTGCTGCCTGCAACGACCTGAGCTGGGCGAGGCGGGGACCTGGGGAGAAGGTACGGCCGGAGGCTGCCCGGGGCTCCATCCCCGACACCCGGGAGCTTCACCCCCTGACATCTGGGGATTCCTCCGAGACATCCCCGGGTGACATCCCCCGACACCCAGGAACTCCTGTCCGCGACATTCTGCGGCAGCACCGGCGGTACCCTCGGGACAGCCCGGGTTTCCATCCCATGGCATCCCGAGCGTAGCCCGGGGCTCCATCCCGCTCCATCCCACGGCACAGTAACACATTGAGCAGATGGGTTCTGCTAACGCAGTGTTTGGGGCTCAGTGGTGGTGTCTGACACACTGAGAGCTGCATAGTTGAATTGAAAGAACTAATACCTGTACGTATTCAGCTGATGCACAATAGTAATAAGTGACTTCGTTGTGCTCGGTGTTATTTATTGCATCAGCATTGCCCTGGAGACTGCTGGAAGGACACATAACATTATTAGACAGTGCTACAGCTCCACCCAGCTTCATGGCACAAAAAGAGACAGGTTTATGATCTAGGTCTCTGCTTAAAACGACTCCCAGAGGAGGACGTGAGAAAAATGTGTTGACATTCGTTCTTTTAGCACATATGTGTTTTATTCAGTCAAGCTAAGAGCATATTGAACCTCACAATTATAGTTGAATGTGTAATTAATTGTTGACTGTTGATGTTGAGTTCATTTGTGATTACTCCTACTCAGAATTGTGTCTTTCAGTCACTTCCTCAACCAGTCCATTGCTTAACTAATATCAGTGATATAGGGAATTTTTATTATCCTGCTTCTTAACCTAGTCATGCTTTCTCTGAGGTTTATATAGATAAATATAAATGTGTTACTTTAAAGGAGGAAGAGATATGGGAGAGTTCCAAGCAACAAGAAATAACTGCAGAGACCGTTCACCTGTTGAGGAAAGATCTCAATAAAACAAAGGTACACATTGTGCATTCATCCCCTACAGTAACTTTCTGTTACTTGAACTTTCTGTTTCTGTTTTGGGCTGGAGATGTGATTGCAGGGTTGCCTTCCAGCTCAGAGCGGGAATCTGCCTTTTGGTTTCCTTCTTTTCTGTCACAATTCTGTTTTTATTGATGAGAATGAATATATGGCATCAGCTGCACTAATTTGTGTCTTGGCTGGCACAAAGGCCACTGGAATTGTGCATTGTTGCATTTTTCTGCTTATCCCTGGAGTACCCTGAATGTTTCTAGTACACTTAGGCGCAAATTACAAATCATAAGAGGGAATATTGAACTTTCTGAGTTGTCAAGCAGAGTCCACTGGCCATAAAATAGTCATGATCTTTAACATGCCCCAAATCTCATTGCATATAATGCAGGGTAGTGTCAAATGTATTTTATTCCTTTGAATAAAGTTTTCTGGTCTGCAGGGGTCAGTCAAAGAGCACATTAGATGGGGCAGTAATTCTCATATTCCATGCATCTTTCCTAGCCACACAATGAACTCCATATTTTCTGCCTTTCAGGAATATACATCTCAGATCAAAAGCCAGATTACTAAATATTTCTGTTACATGAAGGAATATGTTGAAAGACAGGAAAGAAACACACTGATGTTCATTGAACAAGAGCAAAAAGCTGCTCAACAGAAAATTGAAGAGACTATTCACCAGCTTACAGACATCAAAGCCCAAACTGTAAGTGATGAAATGAAGTTGCAGAATATGAGTAGAAACTCTCAAGCTCAATGTCTGGGATAGCTGAATATGTACAAAGCACCTTTGAGGTCCCCACTGCACCATTCTCATAGACACAATGGTGCCAATCCATGGACGTTGCTTTCAGCAGGGAGAGTTTGGAGAGAGAAATTTAGAGGAAAAAGGTACTGAAAAGTACAGGCTGGGAATGCAATTCAGAACTAAATTTTTTCCAAGGATATTGGTGAGCTGGAATGAAGTGGGAGCTGCAGTGCTGAAATCCAGTCCTCAGTCAAATCTAAAGTCGAGATCTTTAATGATCTTTTTATTTTCCAGAATTTGTACTTACACATAGGTATGCAAGTTAAAGAACTCACATAGTTATTAAATATTTTGTAACAACTTTCTTGGGGAAAACATGTCAAGGGCCCTCAAAAGACGCAGGTAAAGCACTTGAGATTGTGCAGAGCCCATTTTGATGTTGAAAATAACAGTGCCAAGTGATGCAAGTTAGCCAGCAGGAATTTGGAGTGAGGCTCCCTGGCTGTGGAAGTGCCATGGGACAGATTTGGACTTCCAGGACCCAGGCACAGGTGCCCACATTGGAATTCACTTGGTCCAGGGTCCCATAACAGGCAGTGAGGAGAAATGGGTACTTTCAGAATTGCCTGGCCTACTTGAGATGCCCACCTGCAAAGGAGATTAATCCAGTCTCCAAAAGGATTCCTCCTACAGACTGTACACACAGACTAACAGAGCAATTTCAGATGTAGATTTCCACAATTGCTAAATTTAGATAAACTAAGCTTACCCTTTCCAAACTTTTGGTTTCGATTCTAGAGAAGGAGGTTTAAAAATAGTAACTTCTGTATTCATATGAATACTTATGGAAATTATAATATATATAGAAAAGAAAAATTAGTCACATTTTCAGTTTTCTTAGGGAAATCACAGTCTTTTCATTTTTTAATAAAAATAGCCTTTGCTATTTTCTGTAAGATTTCAGGTTGTTTTGCTCAGGTAACTGTCCTATAAAGGAAACTTTTGATATAAAAAATAAGATTCTTGTAGAGGTCACTGCTCTTTTTCCACTGAGGCTTTATATTATAATCTGATCTGTGAGATGAAATAACTTCTGTTATTTACATCTTTCCCTTGATACTTTGTCATTATTAGAGTGATTTATCGGAGAGGCAGAGATATGAAGGCTCACCTTCAACAATTTATAAAATTACACTTGATGAGAAGCTTAATGTTGTCAAAAGTGCTGTAGAAGATCTTAGAAAAAAGTTGGAAATTTTACTCTTCGAGAATTATGCTCAGCAACTCCCACCAGGTGAGTTTCCCTTATTTTGAAATCTTTTTCTTAAAAACAGTGGATCTAGCAAATAGAATAAAAAATTACTTTGTGCTTATGAAATGCATATGCAAATAAAACCAGAAACATGATACTCAGCAAAAAAATAATACTGTAAGTATTTTTAAGACAAAAACTGCTTTATCTGCATAGAACAATCCAACTGCTTTACCCATCTCACTCTTCTGACATCTCCCTTCTGACCACAGCAGTGTACAGTGTTTTGTTAATTTTGAGTAAAAATGTTTGCCTACCCCTCCTTTGTAATTAATGCAATCAAGAAAAGCAGCTCCTTGTTTTGTACTTGAACCAGTAGCTGGGTTTAATTAAGGTGTGGTTTCCTTTAGAAGCTTAAATACTTCCTACGTACATTTTGCAGAAATGCCTTAACACTTATTTTTGTATTTAGTACAACCTCCAGACTCGTATCAGGAGCCAAGTGTCTGCTCATCATCTCCAGAGGCTGCAGCTGAAAGTCCTGAACCAAGCATTTCCAGCCCGTTTTCTCTCTGTAAGTATTCAAGCCAGCAGGACTCAACACCCGGGTGACCCTGAGACTGGATTTGCTGTAGAAAACTCTCCTTGCCAAAATCAGCAGATATGGCTGTTTACTGAAGCATGGAAACACAATGGAGTTGCCACGAATGAATCAGTTATTGACACATAATGTAACACTGTACCTGACTGCCCCTGTAGGATAAAAAAGAGATAAGAAACCTGTTTCATCTATGCTGTGTGGTAACTTGTGCTGGCTGCAGTCTGAGATGGTGTACAGGCAGTTACTGCACCTCACTGATCTTTGCTGTTAAGCTGTAATTACTCCAGTTGTTACTCAAATTCTGCATCATTTTGAAAGAAACATTTTTACAATCAACACACTGTACTACAGCTGAAGCTTAACACAGAAAACAAATGTTTTTGCTGATAAAATATATAAGAACTTGTCCCAGTGAACAGTTGCACTGTAAGCTTTATTAAGGTAAGCATCTCATTTATTATTGACAAAAAGGTAATTTAAAAAAAAATATTGTGGCTAGGAATAAAATCCATCTTGTAGGGTGCAAGGTACTTTCACCTTTCCACTGGAGTGCATGTGAGTCTGTCATGGATCTTTACACAGTTGTGCCTGTTAAATGTTTCAGTATGCCCAGGATACAGTTGATAGTGCTTGGTTGAGGATTCTTGAACTTTGATTCAAGTTTATAATATGATCACTGGGTTTCATTTCTCTTCTGGAGCAGGGATGCACCTGCCTTCTTGTTCCCTGCATGTGAGAATATTTCCTTTCTGTCTTGCAGGGGCAGAGGATGTGACTTTTGACCCCACAAGAGTACACGAGCGCTTGGCACTGACAGCCCAGAACAGGAGAGTGATGGTTTCCAGCCATCCAACCACTTATCAACCATCACCCAAAAGATTCTGCATCAGCCAAGTGATGTGTTCACAGGGCTTCTCTACTGGGAGCCACTACTGGGAAGTAATTACCAAGGACAGTGATGGATGGGCTGTTGGAGTTGCTCATGAAATGATTGGTAAAAGGGAGAAATTGGGAAGAACTGAGCATTCCTGGTGTGTAGAATGGCTGGGTCCTAAAAAACAGCTGTCAGCATGGCATAAGGATCAGGAAACATTATTACAGAAGGACAAACCACTGAAGGTTGGAGTTTTCCTGGAGCTACAAAAGAAGACCGTGTCATTTTACTCCATCACTGACAAAGAAATGCTTTTGCACACCTTTGAAATCAGTACCTCAAATCCTCTCTACCCTGCTTTCTGGCTGTTCACTCTGGAAAGAAATGGATCTTTAACTATAAGTCAGCCAAACAGGAGATAAAGCCTGTTGAGAAAAGGGACAATTTTGGCAATGACTGCAGAGTTCCTATAAAAGCCTCAGTGTTTAGCACAGGGGTGTACCAAGGAATGAATGCATAACTACCCAGGTTTTCCTGGCAATCAGCAACTGATACTTCTGTCTGCTCTGCTTCTCTTCTCTCTGTGCTCTAGTCTAGCCATACTTCATTAAAGCAATTCCAGCCTATGTTAAAGGCAGTAAGCACCCCTGTGGGAGTCAGGTGGGTTTCTCAAGCAGCTTTAAGTAGTCCCAGGATATTCCTAGGAAAGAATGTACAAAGGAAGCTCTAATGTTGGGGATAAGCCTTTCTTGTGGACTTCATTTTTGCTACATTGATATAAAAAATATAGGAGAACAGATCATGCCATTACTTTCTGTCAAATGAGTTTTGTTTAGAAGATCTGTTGGATTAAGGAATGCTCAGAGGGCAAGAATGTTACTGAACTTAGGTATGAAAATCTGTCCCTTTAGGGTAGGCACTGAGAAATAGGCTTTGGATTTGAGGACCTGACACTTAGGGAGGTGTCCCAGAAGAACATTATCTCACTGGAACCATATTTTAGTCTTGCCCAGGCCAAAGGGTTGTCATTCCTGCTGGTGGTGTGACCATGGGCATGGTTGTGGAAGCAGATGTTCAGGTGTGTTTATACCAGCTGATAAATCATGTGGTCTCTTTGCTGGCCTTATAAAGGGCCTGCAAACAGGACTCTGTCATGGGAAGGATCATCTGGTCCTGCCAGTGAGCCTGAGACAAAGCAAGAGCTTCTCAGTTGCCTGTGGGGGTGAAGGGACCAGAGCTGAGGTCCCACAAAACGTACGGACAGCTTGGTTTCTGAGAGATCCACTGCTTCATGCAGGCAAACTGAAAACAGCATTCCCAAGAGGCAAAAGCTTTTTCAGGAAGACTGTGGCATTCCAGAACTGACAAAATAAATAGTTTATTGTGAATAAAGCATGTGGGATTCAACTCTCATTTAGTGGAATGGAGCTCCTTGGCTTTTAAAGTAATTGACAGAACTGCTGCTCACCTTCAGAGTTACTCTTTGCTGTCACTGAACACTCTCTCTGATGGACTAAATGCACATTTCTGTGATCCCAGAGGTGTGTCTTTCACCATCTCCAAAGCTGGGGTAGCATTCCTGGGATAGCCAAAGCCACTGCCTTGTTAGTATTGAGGTGTCCTTTGCTGGTTCATTTGGAAAAACAACAGCTACAGCATGAACTCACTGTACATCCCTAATTTCCCACATACGAGTTTGTGCCCAGGGGCAGCAATTTGTTATGGTTTGGATCACAGCAACAACACATATAACAACACACAGTGCAGGTGGGAACCCACTGTGTCACTGCTTAAACATTGGGAAGAATTTCCTGATTAGGTGATTAAACATTGGAACGGGCTGCCCAGGTTTGAGTCACCATCCCTAGGGGTGTTGAAGGAAAGCGTAGGGCACTCGGTTCCACGGTGGTGTTGGCTCATAGGTTGGATGGGATCCCGGACGTCTTTTCCACCCTCACTGTGATCCCCGGTGTGCCCCGAGTGCCCCGGGCTGTCCCTCAGCGCTCGCCGCGGTCACGGCCGGCCCGGGGCAGCCGCCGCCTCCCGCCCGCGCCCTCAGGGGCGGCCGCCGCCCCGCGCAGCCGCTGCGCAGCCGCCGCTCGCGGCCGGTCCCTCGCGAGCCGCCGTAGCGCCCGCCGCGCTCCGTGAGGGGAGCCCGGGCAGCCCAGGCCGCAGCGGCACCGCCGCCGCCGCCCCGCCCGATGTGAGCGGCCCCGGGCCGGGGGCAGCGAGCGCGGCCATGAAGAAGGACGTGCGGATCCTGCTGGTGGGAGAACGTGAGTGCCGAGGCAGGAGGGCCGGGGAACGGTGGGGGCCGCCGGCTGTCACATCGTCCCGGTGTCGTGAGGCTCAGCCCGGCCCGGGCGGGGAGCCCGGGGCAGCGCCGGCCCCGCGGGGCGGGCAGGGGTCGGGGTGGGCTCGCCGTGACCGCTCGGAGCGTGGCCTGGAGCCCCTCGGCTCCCTGCTCTGGAGTCTGCTCTCCTAGCACGGCCGACACTTGGTGGAATTGTGCGGGCTTGGACGTCCCCGGAGATGACACCGGGGTAAAATTCTTGCCCGGTATTTGGCCACGGCATGTTTAAACTTTTGGTTTTCTTTTTCTCTTCTTTCTTTCTTTTTTTTTTTTTTTTTTTTTTTTTTTTTTTTTTTTTTTTTTTTTCCCCCCCCCCCCCCCCCTTCTTTTTTCTTTTACCGCGTGAAAATCACACTTGTATGTTTCCCGTTTACTGACTTTGGAAATCAGTGGTTGCTGCTAGCGGTTATAGGTCGGGTGTAGTGAGTTTGTGGCCAGGGAGTGCAAATCCCTTTTTTTGGTTTTAACTTTCTGTGTGACCTTGGATAAACAGCACACACGTAGGTGCACGCCAGAGGTACTCTGCGTCTAGATTTTTTTCACGTGTTCCTAAAATTGAGTCCTGAAGTTCACGCTTAGGTACCCAAATAGTTGACAAGGCTTGCAGAGGCTCAGCTTCTCATCGGTATAAATAGCAGCAAGGAGGTTCTGTTAGTTTGCAAAGGAAGCTTACGTTCCTCGAGGGGAAAGAATACAGAGTAATTACCAAGTGTTATTAGTAAAATTATCTAGTTATGCTAAGAATGTGGTACTACTAACAAAGCTTTCTGGAGGATTGAATGCCCCATATATATTTCTAGTGCAGTTTATGCAGTTGTTTCGCAGTGCAGGTTGGCCGTACTGCATAGAAAGGCTCTCTGTGGCTTTTCTAGGGAGGAATCTCGAGGGAGCTGTCACTGTGTAGAAAGAGCTAACTCATTAAGATTGTATTTGGTTAGTTTGCTTGACTGTGTTTAGGCGTTGGTGCCTTTGAATACACAGTTTAATTCCTTTTTAGAATACATGCCTGATTTATCTCACTGTCTTTGGCAAGGCTGTGTTCTGGGCTGGCTCTGTGCAGTGGTTTCAGCACAGGTGTAACAGGTACTTTATTTTGGCAACAAGGTTCACAGTGTGTCCAAATGGGAATATTAAAGATACAAGTTTCTTAAATACAGCAATGTGTAGTACATGGCACACACCAGAGGTTGTGAGCATCTCTGTGTTACGCTTTTGTTTCATTTATAGTCAAGGAGGAGGGAGAAATTTGTTTTACAAATTGGTAAAACTTGTCATTTTTAGTACCAGTCCTGCTTTGTGTATGTCTCATGTGTATTTATTAGTCTGAAATCACAAATTAGTCCAGACTATATAAAACTTGTTAGATGGTAACAGCAGACCATCAAGTTTGGAATCTGAAATATGCCAAGAGCTCTTTATTATAAGCCTGTTCCAAAACTCCGCCTTTTTCATCCCCAGTGGTCCACAGTTTAGGTCTAAGTTTGTTTAGTCTTTGTATGCAGGGTGAAAACATCAATTTTCAATAGCCAGTAATTTCCAGAATATGTTCAGCATGTTATGCAGTGTGACGTAGAAGACATATATGAGGGGAAAGACAAATTAATTATCATGAAATGCTGTGGTGCTTTCCTTCATCCCAGTTAGCTGATACTGTTTAGGCTGTTATTTCTAAGACTATAAACAGACTGGGAAAGACAGAGGGTTGACCTAGATTTGAACAAAATAACCCAAATCTCTACACTAGAACCTATGGATTTTCATAAAGCTCAAGGATGCTAAAAAGTATATCAAGAGCTTCTAAATACTGAACATTTACTCACCAGCAACACATATCTTCTATTTTCAGATATAAGAAGCGAGTTTCTATATCTGCAAAATTAGTTTTGCCACTGCTTCAAGTGAGAACTGTCCTGGTCGGGTGCAAAATACACATCACTATTTTCACTAATTAGTAACTTTAGTTGCCTATAAGGAAAGGACTAATCTCTTTTCCCTATGGAAATAGGAGAGCTTCTGAAGCTCTTTCGATTCTGTCAGGATGAAAATTAAGATGGAGTTGATGCAGGAGGATGCCTGGCAGTTTAAGTTAGGATTTTAGCTAATTTGAGTGTCTCTGATGGAAACACAAGTGCATAGCTGTTGGGAAGCCTGCAACCTGCTGCTCTGCAGGGAGTACCACTGGGGAAAAGTTTACAGCTGTTCTCTGTAAGGAAAACAGAAATCTTCCTCCTCAGAACAGCTTTTCTTCACTTATCATAATCTTGTTGCAACTACTCTTCATCATGGTCAGTTAAAGAGAAGGTTTTATTTCTGGATGTCAGAACATGTTATCATACCAAAAATAGACCTAGATAAGTTGAGTATACTCTGACTGGATCATCAGGTCAGTAACACCAATTCCTGCACAAAATCAACCAGTGGTACAATCATAACTCTTCATCTTCCATGTTCAGAATTCTGCACAATTACATAGAGAAGTGTAAATGCAGTGATATCAGCTGTACACATTCCTGCTGGCAGAGGTGCTGCTACATCCAGAGTGAAATTGAGTTTTGCTGGAATTGAGAGCTGTTGGAAATAGACAGTCCCAGAGGATATTTGAATATGAGCGTTTTGGTTTTTAAGAAATTCTCAAAACCAAATAAAGCAGTAATAGTCTTACAAGGCTTCCAGAGGACCAGAAAATTCACACTTGAGGGGGTTTAGAGAGAGTGGAACCCTGAGAGAAGCTACCAACTCTTGGTTTTAAATAGTTATATTAGAGCTTCTCAAAACCAGGCAACTAAGTTGTGATATCAGAAGTCTGAACTTTGCAGGTAAACAATTTATTTGATTGAATGGTGTTGGGTACTGAAGCCGAGATGATAATCTTGGATTTAAAAACTGTGACTTTAGAAGGGTTGGTGGTTTGGGGTATTTTTCACTTCTGGTGAGGGACAGCTCATTTGTATCAAAGGGATTAAGCTCTTGCACTTTAAAAGTAGTCAAAGTACTGCAGACTTTGTTCACGTCCTGTTGTCCAGCTCTCATCCTTGGTATTTTAGGACGAAAGTGCAATCATTGTATGAAGAATTCTATAAAAACAATTAATTTCTACATGATTTTCTATGTGTTTTGTTTGTATTTCTGAAGTTGTATTAAAGCATTTCTAGTTTGTTTTGATTATTTATTTGCTTAAGTATTGTATGTTAAGGTTAAAACCTTCTGTGTAAGGCAGAGCAGAATTCACTTCCCTTCTGGAGGAAATACAGACGTGGGAGGTGGACCCCAGGTTTTTACAGTAAAAGAATTACAAGAAAATTGCTGTCATCCATATTTAATATGATTAAACAACAGCTTAAAAGCTTTTAATGTGGTGAATTGGAAAACGTTTTTTAAATCTTCTCATTTTGAGATAGGGTGCAACTGTTAAGTATAACAAAACAAATTATCTAATACCTGTTTTTCATGTTTTTGCAGCCAGAGTTGGGAAGACATCACTAATTATGTCTCTTGTCAGTGAGGAATTCCCAGAAGAGGTAAAGCACTTTTATTTGTATTCTAAGTTTTATTTCTGTCCTGTCATAATATAAATTAATAGACTGCTGTAAAATAATGTTTAAAAACAAAATAAATTTTAAAATGGCAAAGATGACTTCAGGAAGAGCGATGTAGCTTAGTTTAAATATATCTCTGCATGAAAATTAGAAATTTAAGTTTTATCTAAGTTCTTTTCTGAGTTTTTACAGTGTTAATTAAACTAATTGTTTTATATGTGATGAATGGTAGGCTTTTTAAGGAGCTGTAATTGAGCCAAACTGGCAGCATGTTTCAATATGAGAGACACATAAATGGGAAGGTGCTGAAAGATACAAGACCATCAATTATTTTTGGGGGGGTGTTGCATTTAAAGAGCAATTAGCTTGCAAAACGATTGAGAATGAGGAATTAGAAGTCACACTGTATAACTTATACTTAGCCCTTTTTTTGTAACTAAGCAAGACATGGCCTCCACTTCTGTCTGTGAAGAATGCTTTTATTGACTCTGGAAGTAAAAACT